CTTATGCCTATTTAAAACGCAATGAATTTATGTAATAACTGCAAAGCTCAGTTTATTCCTCTTAATTTACCATTACAAAAAAAGCATTAATTGGGATGTACACAATAATTATACATGTTTGCATTCTATTTTTTGAATGGTTAAAATTTCAATTTGCCATATTCTTATAATAAAGATGTTCAAATTGTTTCTTCTCCTAAGGATAACAGTAAACAAACATATGTGGTGACTCTAAGATGAAATTTCAGTGTAATTTTAGATCTACAATCGGAAGCGAATAGAGTTTAGCCAAAATATAGGAAAAAATGCCAAAAATTAAATAGCTTCGAAAGACCAACCACTAAGCCTTATTTTCTGTGCACTTTGAGGCCATGGTTACATTATAAAAGTAACGGGCAAACCCCTTTATGCGTTCTACTGACAGCAGCCCTAGAGATGGCGGTGGGTGGCATTGAATGATTGCTATCGCTCTAGTCTATCATTTCAAAATTAGGGACGGCTAACGTAGATATCCCTCGAATATAGCTTTGCGCGAAATCCAATAAACAAAGAAGCATTAACAGTTAACTTTATGTTTTATGTTTGCTTACGTGCCTGTTTCATGAATATTTTTCTACATTAAAAATATATATTTTTGATTTGATGCAGACAACCAATATCACAACGTTCAGTAATGTTTGGAAACGAAATACTCAGAGTAAAGTTGATCCTCGTCTACCAAATGATGAATATTTAGAGAAAGTCAAGCAAGGAAATATTCTGGTGGGATTACGCCATTGGTTAAACCTTATCTCGAATCCGAAAGACAACGAAAAACAGACTTGCTCCATTTTCCATATTGCCTCAGAGAACATACTGTTGGATTTTCAGAGCTTTGGGTTGCATAAAGGAAGTATCCTGACATACCCCTTAAGTGAAGGGTTTGTATAAAACTTACTTAGAAAATATTCCGAAATATATTATGATACAGACTGCAGATGGATATTAGAAAATATTGAAATTTACTTCTATTAGTACGAATTTTATCAAATACATAAGAAATTCATGATCTCTAATTTGGAACTTATTTGTTTATGGCCAGTAAGAAATCTCGTATTATTACCAGTTGGGAACTGTTATTTCAAGTTATATCTGATGAACCACTACTTTATATGTTTTCAGGTGTATCAGATAGATTAGTATTAATTCCTTTGAAAAAGCATGAATAAATATGTTTAACATTACAACTCATACCACTGCAAGGTGAAAAAATCTGAGTGTTAGACGTATCTGCAAATCTAATTTGCCTCAAACATGCTTTTACACGAACGAATGAAAGTATTCGAATGAAATGAATATACACCGATTCACGGTTATATTTGTACGACCGGAACAAGGAACAGTATTATCTAATATCCTTACTTTATCCATCTCAGTATTATTATTATTTCACAGTCTTAAAAGTATAAATATCCTAATACATACAAACTCACGGGAGAAGACTAGACTATAGATAAAAAGCTAACTGGATAAGAATAAGTAATATGAAGTACAATTAGATACTTATAACTGTTATTAGTATAATAATCAGGAAATATCAGCCATACATATCTTATGTAAGATAGATTATAAACAGCTGAAAATAAGTTCCTGGCTTCTGTGATATAGATATAAATTCGACATAACAGATTTATAGCTTACACTAACATTATAAATTGTGTAATGTAAGATTTAGTGCAAAACATGAAATCAGCTGTATATATGTATTTATGTATATATTTCAATAAAAGCAAATTGATTGACTCTTTAAATTGACAACAAATTGTTGTTAATTGTAACAACAAATGAGTGTGTACATAATATAACTTCAAAGTAATTTGGAAACTTATCTCTTAAATAAAGTAAACTTCGTTAGGAAAAATGTGTTGAATAATGAAATATTATTGTAAATTCACCTATCATATAACTATTTTTTTAATTCACACCTGTCATTATATTTCCAGTGTGGACTGGTTAAGAAGAATGGGACTTATTGATTTTTGGAATCACAAATATTTCCAATCTATGGAGACACACTTAACTGGTGACTGTGCTAGGACTAACGAACAACTACCATTGTTCATTGAAGATTTCGGAATGGCTTTTGTTTTACTTCTATGTGGATATTTTCTGGGAACCATAACGTTGTGTTTTGAGTTTGGATTATCATGCTACAATAAACACAGAGAAACTTGGAAATAAAACTTTGTTATTAGTTAATTGCGCTGAAATTCAACAATTATTTTTCGTTAAGAATTGATAATGAACGGCATTACGAAATTCTATCGCCAACATCACAGCTTTTTGGAAACTTATATTTGTTTCTGTTATTTAATGATTATTATACATATTTGAATAATTTCATTAAAAGCTTCCTGAATGTATAATCTCTCGTCCAAAATGAGTTCTCACGATTTATCGTTTTAATTAGATGGTTTAATGTATTTGTTTTTAGAAAGGCCAAAATAAATCTATATATGATGTATACACCTAATGTTTTTACAAGGGAATGTTATAATCAACTACGCTATCTATTAAATGTGCAAAAATCTTTAAGGAAAGGACCGATATAAAAATAGAATAACAGATATAATTAGATTTGTAAGTAATATTTCTTGCCAGTTACTATCACCGTATGTCTGGAATCAAGCTTTATACTAAACTATTAAACGTTTCTAAGCTAATAGATTAATTTTTTTGTGAAATAATTAAAGATATGATACATCATGAATAGTTTTTAAAAGTTTCCTCTTCATGTGTTAAACAGTTGTACGTACATGTGTGAATTGGTATATATTATTTTTATTATACTTTACACACATACATATATGAAAGTGTTTATCTTAAGTTGTATGTTATGGCAAACTGACTTCATTAGCTGAAACCGACAGATAGTGTGGGTGTTATGCTAATTATAGAATATTGTATTCCATAATCTCACGCACTTCTGCAAGATGTTATTAGTCTTAGCTGCAAATTCTTAACCAGTGAGTTATTTAAACATAAGAAATGTTTTAAAAGCTGTAACAGAGCAAATGTATTTCAAGGTTTCATCGTCCCTGTTTATAAATTAGTAGCTTTGAAATTACAGGTAAGTTTGTTGATGAACAACATGTTAATTCTATTTTCATTGCTTATATCAATGTTTCTTTTCCATGCCATCCGGTAATTTACAAAACCATGATAATTATTCACAAATAATTTTAAACACGGTAGCAAATGCTTTTCGGTGTTACTTTAAATCTGATAAATTTTATGATGATCTACCATTAGATTTGGACAAGTTGCTGTTCAAACTTATATCTAAAGTATTTACAGTAAATAAAGCACAGATACAAAAACGATAAATCGTAATCTGTTGTGTTTTTCAGTGTATGCTATTCTAACCACAATTATCTATATAAATATAATAGTACTGTCTGTTCTATGTCCATGTAACTACTTCACAAAGTGTGGATGGATCTTCACCAAAATTGGAATAGAAGTTCATTAGGTCCATGCGAGGGTATATATATATATATACACATTTTCAGTTTTGCGGTTTTTATGGGCGTTTTTTACCACTACTTTATCCCCTGTAGATGGATCTTCACCAAATTTGGTATGGATGTTCATTAGGCCCATGCGGAGATACACGCAAACTTGAGGTTTCGCATATTGTGTCTTGTAGTTTGTATGGGCGTTTTTTACAATTACATATAAGGAAACCAACTTTTCATGTCCTAAGATAATCTTTTATTAATCATAAATTTACATAACTTCCGTCTAGGGGACGGGTACTCCAGCTAGTATTTAAATAAACATCATCAAATACAAGAAGTACTGGACGAAACAATAAGATAACTGATGGAATTATTTAAATTTATGATCTAGAAGGAATATATTGTTTGATTCATGGAAGTTCAATGCTTGAAGCATTAGGAGTTTATAATGTTTGTTATTATTCAGTATTGATGGCAAACATTCTTTGATATTTAGTGATTCGGACAAGTTTCACGGAGAGAAGCCATTACTAATGAGCAAGGTAAATATGACTATTATAAAATCCATGCACAATTTTAAATTTTCTGTGACATACCTACGAAATATAGAAATAACGAGAACCTGAGTAACAATTACTTTTGCTTATATAAGAATGTGTACCGTCAATAAATATTTTCTGCGAGAGTAATACAAATTAATGCAATTAATTAATCTTAACCATCTGTTTATATCTTATTTTTTTACATTGAAAATTTTCTAATATAATTAGCATCTCAGTCACTACTACTATATTTTTCGTATCAATGCCAGCCTGAAGATCCCTTGTATTGGGTTAAGGCCTTGTCGGCATTGGATATAACAGATATAGTGTGGTTGGTGTATTATTATACAATTTTCTTTACTTTCACTTTGAAGTTATTATTAATAACACAGGCCTGCGAATTTAAACTTCATAAAAGTTGTTTTGATTTTAATAACGGATTCTCCATAATTCAGCAACGCAGATTTCGAAAATAATATTCATTTTTTTCCTATTACCTAAGGATTTTCTACAAATCGGGAAGAAAAAACTCTTACTTAGATCAAATTATTACTTCGTTTACCACAGTGAACATTTTTTATTATTATGTGTGTTTCTCGTGGATTATAGAACAATCGATTGTCGCGATTGGTCTAGAGAAATCTATAGCCAGTGGTTGTCAACATTTTAACATAATAAAATATGACCCAATTTCAATGAAAATGATTCACTTATGTAAAAGTACATATGACGTTTTGTGAAAAATCTGTACGTGATAGAGAAAAATGGATATCATTTTCGAATTCAGCGTACAGGAATTACAGTAGAACAAGTAAAAATTTCAAGACAATAAATCCATCGGACGCATATGTAATTACTAATGTAAATTTCAAGACAATAAATCCATCGGACGCATATGTAATTACTAATGTAAATTTCAAGACAATAAATCCATCGCAGGCCTATGTGATTACTAATGTAAATTTCAAGACAATAAATCCATCGCAGGCCTATGTGATTACTAATGAAGTCTTCTCTCATTTACTTTTTAATCGGACCAAGAAGACTAGCTAGCTGCTTCGCAAGTTCTTCTCAATGATGAATAGATTAATTCAAGCAAAATAAATAAATAATAAACAGTTTGGTGTTAAAATCAGTAAATATTATAGTGTTAAAACACCTTACCCTAATGCTAATTAGTAGTGACATAAATATAATGGATTAAAATCACAATTGACGAATCTAATCTAGTTGACACAAGTAACAGTTGTTATTCAAACAAAAAATGTGCTTATTATAAATAGCTTCTCAACTGCTATTATATTTGTCCGATGCCAGTCAGTCTGAAGACTCTTGGTATTGGCCGAAAGTCTTCGTCGGCACTGGATATAGCACATGTGATGTGATTTACCTACTATTATTATACACTATTTTTTACGTTCATTCAGTTCTTTTTTAGTAACCACTATTGTTCCATGCCATGACGACTAATAAAACCCTAATTATGCAACAATATAACTGCATATTAAAAATTAATTTATTGGAGTTTATATGCCCCCGTTGGCTCAGCGGTAAGCCGTAGGGCTTATAACACTAAAAATCGGGTTTCGATACCCGCGATGGGCAGATAACTGATAGCCTGTTGTGTAGTTTTGTGTTGAAGAACAAAGAAACAACGCTTATTTATATGAAACAAACATTAAAGTAATGGTAACTGGTTAAAAAAAAAGACTCGGGGCAAAGAGAGATTGTGACAGGTTTAATATAGGCTCTAAATATGTTTTCACTTTACTTATAATTGTATGATAGGAGCGAGAGCTATGATAGAGCCAATATTTTCCCTGTGTTTGATATTTTCAACCTAAACGGTATTTTATGCCACACATGGGCTTAAACGTCCAGGTCGATCAGAGATCCACAGGGTTCAAGTAGAATCATCCTTAATTTTAAACAACTGACCGAAAGGAAAATAGCCAGTCAATAGCAACTGTCGCTACAAGGGCTTTGTCCGGTTTTGAACCGACTGTCACTCTTATAATCGCACCCACAGCGGTAATTGCTAATCGTGTGACGCGATCCTTGGACCTTCTGATCCACAGCTCAGTACGCTGACGACAGAGATGTAGAAGCACATCAACTGTCTCAAAGGACCTCCAGAGATTCTTGTAGGCACGAACGAAAATGATATTTAACTACTACACATTTGTAACTTAGTTCTGAACACAGGTCTACACGTAGACGTTCTCCATAAAAGAAAGGTAGAATATCCTTATAGCTAGCTTTTAGATCACATTAATTTTAATTTGACTATAAAATATTTTTATTAGTGTCTCACGTTCACTAAACAATAAATGTAAAATTTGACAAAAATATATTATATTCGATAATTATGACTACCCGAATTTCGTATTCGGAAATATCTTGATTAATTTTTGTCATTAACATTTCTTATTCGCTATTCATCTCGCATTAGCGTGTCGTTAAGTAAAATTACTTACCTCTAGTCTATCGCTTCAAAATTAGCGATGGCTAACGCAGATAACCCTAGAGTAGCTTTTCGTGAATATCCGAAACAAAACAAACCATAGCTAAATTTCTTAGTCTTCTAGAAATTTAATTGCTCAAGTGAAAATGTGTCATAATCATACCCTTACATACAACTGGACCTTTAGTGACTTCACACAGCAATGAAAATAAGTCTTTCTGAGGCCCTTCTCAGTCAGATCTTTATATATTGTGTGGATTTTGTTCTTTATTGCGTGGAGGTTGTTCTTTAGAGGCAAAAAATCTTACTTGGCTACACAAATTATTAATATGAACAATGTTAAAGTGAGATTAATTTGAGGCAGTTTCCTTTAGTCATATTCCTTTCACAACTGAAAGAATCATCAGTGAATTTTGCTTTATACTTCCTAGATTTTTTTTTCTGAAAAAAAACCTCCGTTAGGGCAATGTTTTATCATACTCGAAAAGAAAGTTTCTGAACTTGAGTTCAATCATTAAGAAATACAATTCCTAATCACAAGACCATTGTATTTCACCAAAGATGAGCAAAATTTTCTTACAATTACTTTCTCAGTCGTGAATATTACGTCAAATATTCTACAAAAGAAAAGGTTTAGTAGGAAAAATTGGTAACTGGTATTAAATTAAGGTTGTTGTTTTTTTTGTTTTTGTGGTCGTTGAAATTTTTAAAGTTTAGTTTTTTTAAAAAAAGGGAAGATGATGATGATTAGTGAAATGACTAATATCTATAATCGGACAGATTACTAGTGAAATTTAGTTGTTGTCTGTCACCATATGATATTTATGGCACAAGTTGAGGCCATCAACACAGTTAAGACTGCTTTAATTCGGCTGAGATCGATGTATAATTCACCTGCTAGATGCCAAATAATTTTACTTGATCAAGAATGAACTAATGTTCGGCAAGAAACAAATTTGAAATTTGAGAAGTGAGTGAAAATCCCAAGTCATCCTATAAAGAACAATTTAATCTAATCCTTTCCATATGTGGGTTGGTATAATGACAAGAAAGTAAAGTAACATACAAGATGTTCCAAAACATTTACTTGAATAGTGTTATTACTTCTGCCACCGAAGGTGACAGAGGTTATTTTTTCACCTCTGTGTGTGTGTGTGTTTGTCAGCATGATTTCTGGAAAACAGCTGAATACATTTGGACGAAAGTTGGTATACATTTGGACTATGACCCAACTTAGAAGTTTTTAAAGGGTCAAGGTCACAGCAAAGCCATGAAAATCCAGAAGGATCCCTATATGTTAACATGGGAACCAATTTTTCACACTATTTTTGCTCTATAGCTCAGTCAAAAACGATCAGATTTTGATTAAACTTGTGTGTGCATATGTAGAATATTATTCCTCATTGTCCTGCCAAAAATGGTCAGTGTCCGTTGATAACGACGGACATACGGACACATTTTCTTACTTTTTGATAAGTGTATTATGGGAAAATATCATATTTTACAATTTACAAGAAGTTTTGTTCCAAATATTTCCATTTCTGTATTCTTGCGTAAAGAATGAGATTATTTTATTAATAAATTTAACACCACATTAAATGTTACATAGTTTAACATACAGATGGAGTTGAAAACATATATATAAAGTTTTAAGTTAAAAAACATAGGATTTTTACATTGTTAAGTAGGTCTTTTCAGAGAAAGTCTCATTTCAAAAACCAAAACAGAAACGGAAATAAACAGAATAATTAAATATTTAGTAATAAAAATACGACTCAACTAATTTCAATGACGACTGTTGCCATCATTAGGACTGTCATTATATTAAAAGAAGCTTCAAATTGAACGACGGTTTTGATAAAGTCAACAAATGTTGCCGGAATGGTTAGTGTTAGGTTGCGTATGACAAATGGCAGTTTTTTGTATTTATTTTATTAATTTCTTTATCGCTGATGTAAACATAATTATAACAAAAAATTATGGAAACCTTAACATATAAGAGCTAAGTCACTACATAGCCTAAGCATTACTTCGCCGAAACTTGAGATCTAAGATCTATCTTGGAGAAACTAATTGACTCGTATGTTTATTAATAAACATATTATTATGCTTAAAATATAATTTTTTTCTGATTTTGAAGAATGTCTATTTGTTTATAAAACATGTCGTCATGCCACAACTTAATTTTTAACACTAGTTTATTAAAGAAACACGCAGAAAAACATAATACTCAAATAGTCTAAACAACAACTAATTTTTCAAGCAAAAGTTTAAACATCGCGAAACGAAACTGGTAATAACGTAGCGTGAAACTTGAGAAATTTCCCTCAATATCATTAGCGAAAACTTTTTTGTGAATATTTATCACTATTAACTTTGTAAACTTTCGGATTCCTCATTTAAAGTAAAACCAGCACTTGGATCTTCTAAATACATTTCGTGTTCAGTTGTTTCATTCAACCTTGTAAGGTCAACATCGTCTTTTTCATTATTATCATGTAAACGTTCGGATTCCTCACTTAAAGTAAAACCAACACTTGGATCTTCTAAATACATTTCGTGTTCAATTGTTTCATTCACCCTTGTAAGGTCATCACCGTCCTTTTCATTATTATCATGTAAACGTTCGGATTCCTCACTTAAAGTAAAACCAACACTTGGATCTACTAAATACATTTCGTGTTCAATTGTTTCATTCACCCTTGTAAGGTCATCACCGTCCTTTTCATTATTATCACGACCTTCATTTTCAAATTCCTTTTCCGTTATCTCAGGCTGTTTTCTCGGAAAACCCTCCAGATCAT